ACAGGAACCAGTTGAGCAGCCTAAAGAAGAGGAGATAATTGAAGAGAAAGAAGAGGAGATAATTGAAGAGAAAGAAGATATCGTTGAAGAAGAAGAGGAAGTAATAGTGGAAGAAAAGCGTAAAATAAAGAARGCAARGAAACCAAAGAAAACTGTAGAAGTAACTGAGGAGCCAGAAGAGCCGGAAGAGCCAACGGAAGACATTCCAGAAGAGGAAGTTGTCCAGGAGCAGGAAGAATTGGTTGAGAAAAAGCGAAAGGTGAAAAAGACAAGAAAACCAAAACCCACAGAGGCAGAGCAAGAAGAAGAGGAAGTTGAAGAAGAGATTCCAGAAGCACAGCCCGAGGAGGTTCCAGAAATCGAAGAGCCTTCAGTTAAAGAGCCTACGAAAAAGAAGCCAATTCCTAAAGTGCAAGAAGTGGAACAAGTTGAAAAGGTTACGCTTAAGCCCGTTCCCAGAAAACAGCATCAACTACCGGAAAAAGAGCAAGTTGAAGAAGTGACGCTCAAGCCACGTCCAAAGACTTCAATTGTCTCGGAGACACAACAGCCCGAAACAACTGAAACTGAGTTTGTTGAGACAGAAAAGGTTGTTACATTCGAAGACCAAGTAGTGGATGTAACTAAGAAGCGYGTTAAGAAGAAGAAGCCGAAGACAAAGCCTGAGAGTCAGGAATCTATCGAAGAGCCAATCGAAGAACCTGTTGAAGAAATTGAAGAGCAAGAAGAAGAACCAGAAGAAATCAAGCCTGTAGAGAATGTGGCGGAGGAACTAGCTATCGAGGAAGCTCCAAAGGAAAAGGTTACGAAATTCAAGCCCAAAAAGGAAGAAGTTGTTGAAATGATTGAAGAAGTTGCTTTGAAACCGGTAACCAGACCAAAGAAACAATTACCTCAGGAAGCAACAATAGAAGAGGTACGTCTCAAGCCTACGAAACGCACAACTACCAAGCCTGAGGAAGTTAAATTGGAAGAAGTCGACTTGCAACATGTTGAAAAGGTAGAAGAGGAAATAATTCAGGAAGAGAAGCGAAAGGTCAAAAAGGTAAAGAAGCCCAAGCACGAAGAGCTTCCTGAAATTCCAGATGCCGAGCCTACCATCTTGGAAGAGGCTGAGTTGATCGACATCGAGAAAGAGCCTAAGCCCGAAGAAGAGAAGCCACAAGTCCCTTGGAAGCGTGGTGAGAAAAAGAAGCCAGTTGCGGAGCCTTTAGAGGAAAAGCAATGGCCAACTGGCAAACGGCGCCCTCTGCCCGAAGAACAGCCTGAAGAGGTACAGCTCAAGCCGATTCCAGCCAAGCCTGTGGAAATTCCTGCAGCACCTGAAAAGGCAGTTTCTCCACCCGAGCTACAGCCTGAAGAAAAGGTGGAAAGCGAAGATGAGATTTCTGATTTGGAGCCTCTGAAGTTACCAGAAGAGAAACAACCCAAAGAAAAGGTTAAAAAGGAAAAGAAGAAGAAACCAAAGTTGAAGAAGGCAACGCCATCAGTGGATGAAGTTTCCGAAGAAGTGGCCCAGCCATTTGCAGAGCCAATTGCTGAAGAAGATCAAGTTGAAGAGCTTCCAGTTGATGATGTGAAGGTTGTTGCTGTCTCTGAAGATGTGCAGCCAGAGGAAGAAGTCGTGGTAACTGAGAAAACACCCGAAACCAAACAAAAGGCACATAAGAAGCGTACAAAACCACTGAAAGAAGTTTCGGTTGAAGGACAGCCACAACTACTGGAAGCAGCTGTTGCCGAAATTGAAAAGGCTGATGAAATTTCCCAAGAGATCTCACAAAAGACTATTACYCTACTGAAGAAGACTGAAGATACACGACCTCAATTCATAACAACAGAGCAGCTTATTGAGCTCGACGTGGAGGACGTAAGACGCGATCTGGAAATGAAAATCACTTCGAATATTATTAAGAAGGAGAAACGGCGCGTTGTGCTCGATGACAGCCAGCCTCTGCCCGAATTGGAGCTAATCACGCAGAAACGTATTCAAGAGGGCATCGACAAAGTGGCCGACGAGGAGCTGATCGAGGATCAGCAATTGACTCAGAACTTAGAGGAAACAACTACGTCTGAGGTAATTGGCCAGGAGCGCAAGCTAGTCAAAAAGAAGAAGAAGGAAATCAAGCCACCGCGTATCACCGAAAAACTGCGACCACGTCAATGTGTTCCCGAAGAGCCCACTATCCTCGAATGCAAGGTTGAAGGCGTACCATTCCCAGAAATCAATTGGTACTTTAACGACATGCTATTGTTTGCATCGGAAAAGTATGAAATCACCGTCGTGGAGCAGGTGGCACAGCTGAAGATAGCCAAGGTCACGCCCAGCGATGTGGGAGTTTACACCTGTGAGGCGAAGAACGAAGCCGGCGTGGCAACAAGTCGTACCAACATAATTTTAGGTAAGTTTAATGCACATTTCATTTACTCTATGCAAATGTATTCCTGTCTGTGTAAGTCACTTGAAAGCTTTTGAGAAAGTTGATTGGTGTCTTAATTATTTTAACCTCTTGGAAGAACCACTTAACAAACTACTTCCATGATTTCATTCCATTTCTATGCCCAAACACAACAACAACAACACACTTTATAAATACTTTCTATTCAYAATGAATATAGAAAAAGAACAAGGAGTCGCGCCACAATTTACGAAACCACTTAAGATCGAGTTTACAGAGGAAAAGCAGCCCGAGCGGCTTAAGGTAACTGTAACRTGTCAAGTGACTGGCAAACCCAAGCCTCAAGTTAAGTGGTACCGTGGTATTGAGGAGGTGATACCCAGCGAAGCTTTGCAGATGTTTTATGATCAAGAGACTGGCGAYGTTGTCTTGGAGGTTATAAATCCGCCTCCAAATGAAGCCATTACCTATTCGGTTCAGGCTCAAAATCAATTTGGACGCGCCATTGGCAATGCCAACATTATGAGCCGCGTGGATGAAGCGCCCAAAGAGATTCTCAAGCCGCCCACAGTAACGCCGTTGAGTGCGRTTGTGGTTCCAAATGGAGGCACATTACTGTTCGAGGCCAAATACGATGGTATCCCMAGACCAGAGATCAAATGGCTGCGCAATGGCCGTGAGATTATCGAAAACGAGGAAACCATTATAGAAACCACAGAGACAACGACAACAATCAAGGTTATCAATATGACTCGTAAGCGTACAGGAAAGTATGAAGTTTGYGCCAAGAATAAGGTGGGTGAGGCCAAGTCTTCTGGCTCTGTGGTTGTTTCTGATCAAGCACCTGATAAGAAAATCAGACCACCCAAATTCATTCAACCACTTGAGCCGAAGTTCTTTGGAGAACATGAAGTTGCAATACTCGAGGTTGTTGTCGATTCAGAGCCGCTTTCMTCCTTCCAATGGTTTGTTCACAATGAACCCATTAAGAGCTCGAATGAATGCCGTATTGTTAGCCAGGCCAACAAGTCAACGCTCTTGATTGAGGACTTCCAGCCGAAGTTCTCCGGACCATTCACTTGTCGAGCTGAGAACGTTGGCGGCTCGGTCACATCAACAGCAACAGTTAATATGCTGGAGGGCGCTCCGCAGGAACAGGCTGTGGAATTTGAATCGCCACGCTTCATTGAGGAATTGATTCAGCCCATAGATGTAATGGATGGCGAACAGCTGCTCTTGACTTGTCGAGTGACGGGCAAGCCTACACCAAAGGTGGAATGGTATCACAATAAGGAAAAGATAACAGAAACAAAGGAGACAACACTGTCGCAGGATGCGCAAGGAAATTGCCAGCTACAAATAACGGAAGTTTTCCCTGAAAATCAGGGCCAATATAAATGCGTTGCGACAAATAAGATTGGCAAGAGCGTCACGAAGACAACTGTTAATATTCAAGGTACTTTTGGATGGTATCAATTGATAGTTGATAGTTAACAATAGATACTTAGGAAATGTAGCATACACCATATGCATCGCATTCTACATAGGTTTTTCAATAACTACACTCTTTCCACTATCCTCCTACTATTTCTCCTCTGAATACTATATATACCCTGTTTAGTATGTTCTTTATACTAACTCACATCTTGATGCCCTTGCATGTGATACTAGCTAAAAGAGATCTTTCGATTTTAAATCTATATTATCAACTCTCGCAAAATCCTTTTGTAAATAATTTTCCGTTCTTGCGTTTGATAATACATCTGTCATTGGACAAGCCAATATTTATAAAATTTAAAACATTTTTTTAGCATTTGAATATATCCCCGATTCTGAAATCACTGGACTCACAGGATCTGAGGAGGATCTACTTGATAGAGTAAGCGTGATTGTAGTTAAAGAGCTGCCTAGGTTTTTCTTGAAGCTAACTTTTTTCATATATGATGCCACCGTTTTAGACTATCTCAATCGACGAACAACCTCCGAAAATTATTAAAAAGCTACCTGAAAAAATCGAACCCAAAGAGGGTGAACAAGCGAAATTGGAAGTTAAGGTTATTGGTAAACCAAAACCAAAAGTCAAATGGCTACGTGACGACGAACAGATATTCGCCTCCGAGGAATATCAAATCGAAAATTTCGAAGATGGGACCTCAGTGTTGGTCATCAATCATGTATATCCCGATGATGTGGGCACAATTAGTTTTGAGGCCTACAATCCGTTGGGAGTGGCAGTAACAACTGCACTATTCGCAGTCGAAGGTACTGTTATGGTTAATGATGTGTTTATCATACGCTTTATAATATCATGGAAAAGTCTTGGAATTGTCAGTAAAATTCTCTTTCAGATCTGCARCAGCAATGCCAAATTCCCTTTTATCCCTATCCCCCTTATAACATATGTCTACAATCCAATTTGATAAAATTCCCATTCGTATTCCCTACACAAAAATACACTTACTATACACTCTAATACACGAAAGGTTAAATAAATATGAATAGAATTTACAAAACATATTTTCACACATTATCCTCACTGCATTGCTGATGAAACGCTAATAATAATCTACTATTGTCACTTCTACTGTATCGCAACATTAATAGGCATCGTTGGATCAAAGGATTATCGCAAGCCAGAATGGGTGACCCACATGGAAGAGATGCAAGTCGCTCTCAAAGGTATGTATCAGAGGATTGAATAATAACCGACTCTACCACTGTTATGTGTATATGTGTTTTTAATTTCGTGTTTTTCAACACACAACTGTTTTCCGTACTGTTGTCTTAAATCACAAAACAAAAACAACATTTCACAAAGTCTGTCTCTATTGTATTTGTCCATGTATTATACAATGTTTCGTGCACCAACAACAACAACAACTATGTGAATCTGTCAATTTCGTCCAAAGAAGCTTACAAACTATGTGGCTTTGTAATTGTCTCAGCCCTTACAGCTCTAAGGCTTATACACCCCTTATCCCCTAAAAACGTATCCAAGCCCCATTGACAAAAGTAATCGCCTTTAGAAATAATAGTATAAAATTCTTGTTATCCCTTATATATACATATATATTTTTTACAGTATCAGTAACTCATGTACAAGTAATTGGTTGTATTCTAAAATGTTTTAAACGAATTCTACTTTTTTCCAAATTTCTACTAACCCATAAGTAACTTAAATTCCAAGGAAACACTATGACATTCCCCTAGCGCTGCTTACCCACACATATCTATATGTTGTTATGTGCTAGCTGAGTTTGTTGCCTGTTTACTCGTTGTATTTGAGTTTATTCAAAGATTTAACCAAAAACAGACAAACAATTTCCATATTACTCAAGCAAACTACAAACATCACACTAGGATTAAATACTGACTGTAAGTACAAGGCACACATACAGACTAACTTCTGTTGCTTGTAGAGCTTTGTATCTAATACGTAGTTAAATGATGCTATCTTTATGCTTATAGCTGCTAAATGCTCGCCATCGATACTTAATGAAATGCGTGACTGTCGTGCCTCGATTGGGGAAACAGCGAAGTTCTCCGTACAATTTGCAGGCAATCCGCAACCAGGTACAGTATACTGTCTGTAGAGCGCTGCAGTTGGTTGGGGCTGATGGTAGATTGGTTTGCTGGCTTTTGTAGATATTCAGTGGTATTTCAACAATGTTCAACTGAGGGCGTCAGAAAAGTACCGCATGGTAGTGCAGGAATCAGAGGCAACACTTGAAATATTCAAAATAACAAACGATGACTGCGGTTACTACAACTGCAAACTGATCAATGAAATTGGCATGACAATGACGCGCGCTAAGTTCGACATATCCTCCACATCTGCAGTAGCAGAGGAGGTGGAGCAAGTGAAGACAAAGACTGTGAAGAAGAAGACGGCCAAAAAGACAGCGAGCACAATGGCCAAGCGAGCCAGTGCATCTGAATCCCAGTCGCTTCATAAAACTGAAATCAAAATAGTGCCATCGAGGGCTGTAGAGACGACCGTCAATATAGTGAAGGTAAAACAGGCTGTGCCCATATTGGTAGAGCACAGTGAAGTCTCGGAAGTGATGCAAGTAAAAGATCGTAAGATCGCTGATGCTGAGCAACGCAGCAGAATTATTGAGGAAGTTGCAGAAGAGGCAGAAGAAATTGAGTCCGAGGAAGAGGTCCTCGTTGAGAAGAAATACACATCAAGTAAAACGATTCAGCTAACTGAAACAGTTGAACTAATACGCACAAAAATCACAATGAAAACCATCAAGATTGAAGATATCTATGAGATAAGCCAGCATGAGGAGGTGCAATGGCTGCTCGAGTCCGTCGAGGCCGAGTCGTTTGGCAAAATTGGCGAAGCAGCGCTCAGAGACTTAGCCACAATTGGTGTGCTCTTGCGCTATGGCTGCACTCATTAYGARATCACATACATGTACGAGCAGAACATATTTATATCGCTACAGAAGCCCGAATCGCAGTCAGCTCTCGTCCAGCTCGTGGAGCGAGAAGGCCACGAGGAGCTGATCACGCAAATCCTAAGTGAATCTTCGAACGAGGACGAAACTATATTAGCAGCGACAGTTGGCTTCAAAGCGTTCATACGCATGATACAGACGTACGAAATTACTATAGAGACGGTGATACGAAAGTTTCATAGGGAGGATTTCATCTCTCACGATTGGAAGATATGCGCAAAGGAGGTTTGAATTCTGTTTTGTTTGTTTTTGTTTCGTTCGATGCGGTTACGTAGACAGTTGAAATGGCGGTCTAAATTTGACTTACATTGAAAAAATCTTTCTCTAATTGGGAACTGACATTTCAACTGGAAAACCTGAAAATGTTTTGTACTTTATAATCTGCAGCTGTGAGATTATATTCTTCTAGTTTATTGACGATTGTTTTTATAACTTTTTACACGATTTATTGAAATCTAGAGAATAGTAGAGACATCCCAAATAATTGAAAGTCACGAGGCTATAACGCGTGTGAAAATCGGTGAGTAAGCTGCTTATTTGTATATATATGTGAATAATGCTAAAAAATTAGAAATATGCTTTAGAACATTTGAATTTTGATTACTGAAAAAGCTATTTTATTTCTTTTTTATTTTCAAAAAATGTAAAACTGCTTTGTAAAATGCCTGCGCTTATGTGCCAATCCCAACAACAAACTTAATCTAACCCATACGTAGAGGAAACATTTGTCGAGGAACGCACGATAGTTGTCGATGAAGGTTTGAACATAAACACAGATGAACTGTAAAGTCCACAAATAATACCTACCAGTACTGATGTATCCCAATGAACTACTCAACTAGTTACTACATCAATTTATGACACTGAAAACAAAAACATATTCAAAAACAAACAATAATCGATATTGACTTTTCAAATATATAACAATTAAATTTTGTTAAACCAAACGAATCATGTGTATATTCTAAAAAGACGCCTACCTCAAATTATCTCAAATGCCCATTAACCGCTGATAACGACCTACTACTATTATGATTTAATGATTCTCTTTAGCCTGTTGCCATATAAGCTTTTTTTGGTATATTGAAAAGCATTTTTTAATACTTCTACGCACCTGAATACAAATGTAGAAGGGCTTCTTGTTTATTGAATGCTCGGGGTCAAACAGTTGGCTTGGCTTGAGGTAAGTTTTCACAGAGTTTTCCTTTTGTAATATGTATTGCATATGCTGTTTGTCTGTTTAGCTTTGTTTATGTGTCGCCAAGAATCTAATAAGAAGCAAAAAGTGTTATATTAATCACAAATGCTGATCATATAATATTAATTATAAACAAATTGCAATTGCCTTGCTTTTATGCAGTTTATCAACATTGTTAGTGAATTGTCTTTAATAGCACCTGAAAGAGAAACCGACATTGTCATTGTTTAATTACATTACATTCGCAGAAACTACAACCACTAAAGTGGAAAAACAATTCATACAGCAACAACAAGAACAAGAACAAGAACATGAACAAGCACTAGGTCAACAACAACAATTACAAATTCAGGCTGAACAAACTGTGCATAGAACAACCAAAACTAAAAAGCATAAAAAACATACAGAAATAATACAACAACAACAACAACAAATACAACAAAGTATTGAAGAGATCACAAACTATGAGCAAAGAGAAACATTTGCAGAGGAATCAAACACTGAAGCACCAACRATTGAGACACTAGAGCAGATTGAAGAGCTTTTACCATATAGCACGAATCTATCCACACAAAATGTACCAAAAAATACATACGAAACAATTCCAGTTTCTGTAACAACAGAACTTTCCACACCGAAACCTGTAGCAGCTCAAGTACACGACGAACTCTTACCACAAAAGACTTTAGCAGTGAATGAAGAATGTTTAGCATTCGATGAGGTAAGTTCCAGCTTGGCTCCGTCTAGTCCGGTGACTAGTGAGCTAATCGAGCAAGTTGAAGTTCACGAAAGACATGCTGCCTCTATTATTGAGACTCACACAAAGGAGACTCCCAAGGAATTGAAATCTTCGAAAATACCAAAGCGCATACAAGCTGAGCGTAAAATAAAGGAGTCACGTCCATTGCTAATTGAAGCACCTAGCATCGAGGACTCCATCGCAGAGCTGGATTCACTCAAAGCTCCTGTTCAGCAAGCACATGGGGAAATCCTTTATTCCCATGAGCTCACCTCAGAACAACAATCGACTTTGGACAGTGTCGAAAATTTGAAAACCCCAGCAGCTAGCACGGAAAAAGCTGTATCACAATTGCTTGAAAGTGAAAGTATTATGATCACCGAGTCTTTTAGAGGAGAGACAGTAGATAAGGAACCAGCCCAAATAAAGGCCAGCAGCGAGAAAATTTCTCCCATATTCACCCCAAGTGTTAGCCTAGGCATTAGTGAATGTCAAGCGGAGGACTCTGTAATGGAACTCACAGCTCAAAAAGAGATTCGCACCGAAACGACATCACTTACAGTCGAAGAGTTTAAAGCATTCAGCACTAGCGAATCGAGAGCATTAGAGAGTGAAGAAACTATKAACGCAGTRATTCAACCAACGAAATCKCTGGCAGAATTATCCATAAGCCCCGAAGTCGCACCAATTGTGGTTCAGGAAGTTGATATAATGGAGTCCCTAAGCGATGAAAAACCATCACCATCACGTATTAGTGAGGCTCAGGCCCTTAAGCAATTAGTATTGATGGAGAGCCTTATAAATACAACAGCCGATGCGCGTAGTCCCATTGAAGAGAATTTACCAGCATTCCGGACAGAATCGCATGAGGCTAGCTCGAGTTTGGAAACACAATCACATGTTATTACGGAGCAAACTATTTCCAATGAAGATAGCCCAACAGAATTTGCTGTAGAGAAAATACCTGAAAACATAGCAGCTACATTGGGCCAGACCAGCTCTCTCACAGTGGGACAAACTCAGGAAGTGCAATTAGTCGAAACGACAGAAATGCTGGATAAGCCAACTATAGAGCCTGCTAAGCTCGCGAAAGAGTCATTCACAAAGGCTTTTGGATCCGCCCTTGGTAATCAGGAAATAGTATATGATACCACTCAGTTAATAGAACCGGTAGGCAATGACTTGAACGAAGGTAAGATAAATATCACAGATGCCGAACTGGTTGCAGAAGTGCATGCTCAAACAATAATTGACTCAGAACAGAAACTGGTGCCTA